TTGGGAGTTACTATCTGTTACACCTGGCAAACGGGCGGATTGTGTCGGGTTTGGGTTGGATTAATTCGGGTGATGGGTTATATGGATTGGGTTATGAATAGGTTGTGGGTTGAAAAAATTTAACTCTAACCTGATTTTAACGGATTATGGGTTAATCCATGAGTTGACTTCATTTTCATTCTTTATAATTATTTTTTTATTAATTTTATTATATACAAATAAAATTATATATATATCTAAATTTAATTAAAATATTGTAATTCATTAAAATTAAGTACTTTATAGTCTCAACTACAAACAATTAAATTAAGAAAAATATCATAAAGTTATAAATAATAATAAGTTGATTAACAATAACAATATTAAATGTAAAATATTTAAATTTTTTGAAAAATAAAATTTTAATTTTATAATCATCTTGAAACATTATCAAGTAGTTAAAATTATTTTTTTAATGATGAAATTGCCCTTCCAAGAACACCTTTCACTAAGTTTTTATGTTTATGTCATAGTATCACATTTTTTAATATTTTTAGTTGCATTATTATTTCATTCATGATACTTGGATAATTATTAATATAAAAAAAAAATAATAATACTTGGATAATTAGATCAAACCCATCATAATTTCTTCGATTTCTCTAGAAATTATGGAGTATGAATTAATGGAAGGAATTAACAATAAGAAAATTAATTAAGAATAATAAGTATAATATTTAAAAATAATAATAATAAATAAACAAACGAGTCAACATGTTAACTTGCGAGTTGATTTTAACCCGACCCACAATCCGTACGGATTGATAATATAGGCTATTTACGAGTTGTAAGTTAGACTATGTAAACCCTAACTCATTTTTAAGGATCGAACTAGGATCGAGTTGACCGATCGAGTGTATTTTTACCAAGTTTAATTTCTGTGCTCCCATACTACTATCCCATCCCTTTTTTTTTTTTTTTTTTAACTTCCGTGATCTTGGGTCAGTATATTTGTTTTTAGATGGGAAATTCCCGGATCCAGTTATAGATATTTTTAAGATTATTAATATTTTATTTTTATTTTATTAAATTATTTTTTATTTAAAAAGATAAAAGTGATGAAAAATAAAATTTAAAAAATATATTTTTAAATAAAATAAATAAAAAATAATTTAATAAAATAAATTATTTTATAATTAAAAATAATTTAAATTATAAAACACTTTATCTATATTATTGTTTTTATTATTTGTCATCAATGAGTATTAAAAATAAGAGATAAAAGACTGTACCTGTCCAAGTTTGGGACCGGGAAACTTGGCTCGAACAGCATCTTCGAGGTCCTTCCCCAAGGGGGCAGCGCCGGACTTCATCATTCGCACCGACGACAAGTCGTATTTATCGGTGTCCGTTGACTTGGCGATCGCCAGGACAATCGGGGGTACCATCGGCGCTATCGTCACTTTATGTTTCTGTCTCAGCTCCAACAATTTCTCGATCTCGAACTTGAACTTCTGCAGAATCAGAGTCGCCGCCCCGACCCGCAACCCACAGAGCATAATCGAATTGAGCGCGTAGATGTGGAACAGCGGCGGAACACAGAGGATCACGTCCTCGCTGTGGAAATACAAATTGGGATTCTCGCCGTCGACCTGCTGCGCCACACTAGTGACCAGACCCTTGTGCGTCAGCATCACCCCTTTGGGGAACCCAGTGGTTCCCGACGAGTACGGAAGAGCCACAACGTCGTCGGGATTGATTTCCACATCGGGCAAATCGTTCTCATCGGAATTCCTCAGTTCGGAGAAATGCAAACAGCCGTCCGGAGCAGAGTCAATACACACCAGCTTAACGTTATTTTCCTCCGCAAATTCCTTGACTTTCTCAACGTAACACCCCTGCGTGATTATAACTTTTGCTTTCGACGCTTTTGCCTGGTTTGAAATCTCTACCGGAGTGAAAAACGGGTTCGCTTCTGTGGCGATGGCACCCCGGAAAAAAGCTCCGGGGAAGGCCAATACGAATTCAGGGCAACTGTGCAACAAGAGCATAATCACTTCCCCTTGGTTAACGCGGACCTTGTTTATACCGGAGGCAATCCGGCGGGCGGTGAGCTCGACATCCGCATAAGTGTACACTTCCCCTGTTCCACCATTAATCAGACATGGCCAGGAGGACACCTGGGATAGGTTCTCAAAGCAATAAGAATGTAAACGGAGGTGTTTCGGAATGTATATGTCTGGAAGCTTCGACCGAAAAATGGTTTCTTCTACTTGTTGGAGAGCTTCGGGCGCCATTAGAGAGCAGAACAGCGTGAAAATTTGCAGGGGAAAATGCTGAAATGTTAGGCTTTCTGCGTTTGGGATGGGCGTGAGATAACATTAGGAAGTAATTAGATTGATATATTTATAAAGTTCGTTAAGGTGGAACGAAGGGTTGGTGAGGAGGAAATAGGAATCTCTGGATTGGGGATCAAAATCGGGTGTGTGTGTACTGCTCTAATTCTAAGCTGACTTTCCAGCCGTGATCTAACTGGAAGTTTGGCTGATAAGAGGGGGTTGATAATTTATCTAATAATTCTTGACAGAATTTCTAGGATTAATTAACGTATAGAAAGGATATTCCCCAAAAATATAATTTCTTTTTAATTTAATTCATTCATTAATATTTATAATTTAATTATTAAAATTTATAATTTAAAATTTTTTATTTTTAATTTAAAAAAATAATATATAATTTTTTTAATAAATATATTATTAAAAGAAAATACATCTATGAGTGTTATATTTTGTACATGAAATTTTCAACTTCTAGAAGCTCCACTGCGCTCTAGACTTGATATTGATATATATATATACATATATGTGTGTGTGTGTTATATTTTGTACATGAAATTTTCAACTTCTAGAAGCTCCACTGCGCTCTAGACTTGATATTGATATATATATATATATATATATGTTATATTTTGTACATGAAATTTTCAACTTCTAGAAGCTCCACTGCGCTCTAGACTTGATATTGATATGCCCATCAGTTTCATTGAAAGTTCTTCAATTACACAATTGATTTCAAGATCAATGTTTCTATTTTCTCTTTTCATCCCCAGTTCTGATCTCTTTTTCTTTATACACATTATTCAATGTGTTAAACGTATGGCGTAAGAGACATTGAGCACCTCTTAGCCCATTCCTTCTAGAATGCCAAGTTGCTAACTGATTACCTGCTGACAAACTTAACTAACATGGGTATTTCTTAAAGAATGATTTAATAGTTAAGAGTTTAAATTTTTATATTAAAAATTTAAAATTTAAATTTTGAGTTAGATAAAAAAAGATTTAGAAAGAAAAATGTTATTTTATATTATATAATTTATCATTTGATATACCAAAAACAAAAAATATGGGTAATCAAAATTTTTTATTCTATGTATGTATATATGCAATAATTGAACTGGGGAAGGAATGTTAACAGTTCACAAAATACAGTAATGGGAAAGGATTGCACTTTAGTGTTACATCATCCTCCATCTTTCTCTAGGATTGAAAATCAATTCCTTAAAAATTCAACAAAGTAGGCTAATGATCAATGGGTATGGGTTATCTATGCAAGGGAAAAAGCTAAGAGGAAATTTAGGTTGTGTTTGAGGTTACTTTTTCACACAATATTTTATCAAAAGTGTTAAATTGTTATAATTAAGCTAGTTTTTTTTTCTTACTCATGCATTGCACAGGTTATACTTTAAATTTTAATATTATAGTTTAATTTTTATATTATATTTTATCAACTCTTAAATTTTATAATAATTTTTCAGTTAAAAAATTCTAATTGCATCAATAATTAATAAGAATATTTTTCAAAATTATAATTAACATTAATTCTATATCTATACTGTGTGATTTTTTTTTTTTAATTATTTTATTGATAGAAGTATCTATTGTACTTTGTACTCCATTTAAATTATAAAAAAAACGATATTAAAAAAAATGACTCATTTTTGTTTTATCTATATTTTGTCTTAGTTTTTAGTGAATCATCCTAGGCATAAACCAATTTTAGTTATAATAATCCTTTTTATTTTCAAATGATCAATGTTGGAGATTATTTGGATTTTATAACATTAAATCTTACCATTTTTATTTTATCTATGCTTTTTTTTTCCTCAATTTTAGTGGTTCATCCTAGGCATAGACCAATTTTGGTTATAATAGTGTTTTTTATTTGACTGAGATTTGAAATTTTATTATTTATTTATTTATTTTTGAACTGCAAGACGAATTTAAAACTTTTTGTCATTTATTTATTGGATTACGTCACATTGTTTAAATCATTGGTTTTTTAATCTCATTTAGATTAGTTATATTAGTTTTATTTTAGTTTTTTCTTAAATTCTTTTTACTTATAAACAAGTTATTTATTATTTAACTTTTTTGATGTGTTCTTAAATTATATGTTATTTAAGTTTTTTCATGTATTTCTATATTATTGACAGTTGATGTTGCAATAAATCAATAATTATCATTTGTATCATGTTGCCTTTTCATCTTCAACAACAAATCATAATATAATAATTATAATTGAGATTATATTTTTTACTAAATCATGATATAATAATTGTAATTAAAAATTTGAAATTACCTTTTTCATTAAAATTTTTTTGTTCATATAGACCTCTTCTCTTTTATGCTCACTTATACTTTTATCTTTGAATTAAGTAATAATAGTAATCTTAAAAAATAAAAAAAAATAATCATATGGAAATGATTTTTTATATAGATTTTTAATTTTACAACTTGTAATAAATTTATATAGTAAAGTGGATATAGTAATATTATAAGTGTTAATAAAATGAAAGAGTTAATACTTAAAAGATTTAATTAATATATATTTTAAAAGTACATGTTAAAAATATAATTAATAATTTTTAATTATTAAATCATATAAAAAAGTAAAAAATTTGATATTAATTTTAATATTATATCATGTTAATTAATTTAATCAATTAATTATTAAAAATAAAATAAAATATTATTTTTTGATTTAACTTAATAATTAAAATATATTTTAAATACATATTTAATATTAAATATGTACCTTTAAAAAACTCACAATTAAATGATATGATAAAATTATACGCTTACAAAAATTATATAAAACAGTTCTCATTCAATCGTTTTCCATTCTCAAAGCTTTTTAAATGCGTGGATATTCAGGAATACTAAACCCGACATGTGTTTAAGGAATAATATGCATGCCCTATAAAGTCACTATTTTTCTTTAAATATCTTTTCTGAGGCTAGGAAGACTGTTTGATAAAATTAAAAATTAAATGATTAATTAGAGATAAATAAAAATAGGATAATTGAAAATTAAAATGGGTTGAAAAAAAAAATTCTTTATATATAACAGTAGTTTAGGGCAAATAAAGAAATTAATAGTAGTTATGTTGAATTACATTAGGAGAGAAA